TCAAGACTGGGTTGAAATCCTCTTTGGGTTTCAGCTGTGCACACTTGGGTCTCTCAGAGGGCCCTTCTGCCAGCTGCTCCATGCCTGGGCTGTCCTTGAGGCCCCAGTTGAACCTGTTGCACTGACGTGCTGTTCTGGGCCAGCACCAACCTCGGAGACTGTTCCGTTTGTGTCACAAGGAATGGCGCCATGGTTCCCAGCTTCTGCTGTGAGCAGCAGTCTCCTGTGGCTGGTCACAGAAAAGTGCTGGTGCGTGTCTCCAGGGAACACCGATAGTGACGTGTTGGTGAGTGCAGCGCTCTGACTACCTGACTAAAACTGCTCCTATCTGGCACATTTAGGTAATCAGATAAAATATCTAAAATTCACAGCAGTTGCCAGTTGTGTGTGGCGGCACGCAGGAGGCTGAGGAGGGGCAGGGCAGAGTGTGAAGTGCGTCTGGGCTCCGTAGTGAGTTCAGGCCCACCCTGGACTCCACAGCCGGATCAAACCTTAAAACACAGATAAAAAATAATATACTCAAAACAAAAAAAAAGCCGAGTAGTATCTGTTTCCGTTCTATTATGGTGAAACGTCCATGGGACTGACCCTACCAAACCCATGTGTTCATCACTGTTTTCCTGGGTGGTTTTTCTATTAAACATCTGCTTAGCCCACCAGCTATATGGGAAGACACACCGCATGTCACAGCTTTGGCTGGCATCATGGCAATGGCTTAATTTTACTTAAGCCATTAATTTAAGGGCACAATGTCAAAATAATGAAACGATTTTGAAAATGCACTCCACAAATCAGACCTGTGCTAGCACACCTGTCTCCGCCGCCGCTTTCTCCTCCAGAGGCTGCCGAGGATCGGGCACTGCCCTGTCCGCCTGAGCGCTCCAGCGAGTGGAGAATGTGGTGCTCAGGCGTTCTCAGTGTGCAGCGGCGGCGTAAACTCAGCCTCTGGCGCGGGCGCGCCCAGCGCGAGGGAGCACCCAGCGCCTCTCCTCCTCCCCCTTGGCTTGGGTCTCAAGTGCTGCGAGTGGAGCAGCTGTAAATAATTGGAGTACTGTTAGATTATAGCATCAGATGAAAAATGTCCCCGAGCTAATGCGGTCTGTACGTCTGAAAGGTACAGGCGGCTAAACGTTTAGCCTCGAGTTAGGTTCAGCTCTGAAACATCCCCCAGAAGACTCAAGTGTCCAAAGCTGTGGCTTTCGGAAGGGGACAGGGTCTCGGGGCACGAGACACAGCGATGCGGTCCTCCTTCCCTGAGCTCACGGACAGATGTGTGGTTAGGGGAGAGTCTCCTCGGAAGGAGTGCGTCGCTGGGGTTGGCTTGGGGGACAGGGCGCCTCCCCTGGCAGCCCCGAGGCCAGCGGCTTTGCTGCCGCCCCCCGATGCCCCTGCCTTGGGGCCCACTGTCCGCGAACTGAACCCCGAGGCCGTGAGCCAGTTCAGCTGCTCCTTTTCGATGTGGGCGTCGGGCACTGGGTCCCTGCAACGCGAAGGCCAGCCAGTCATTGCTGCTCACCGCCGTGCAGCGAGGGCAGCTCCTGCTCCCTGCCCGTCCAGCGCCAGGCAGCATCCCTGGGCTGGTGAGCGCTTTTCTCCATCTCAGTCCCGGGCCCCTTACCCTCACCGCCTCGGGGAGCAGATGTGGGCTTTTAGCTTTCCCCGTCTTCGCCCCGCACTCCTGCCAGCGCTATGTGGGTGGAAGTGCGTCGTAGGGGGCGCCTTGGCGGACCGGCTGCTCCCCAGCACCACCCCATCCGCACACCGGAGGACAGCGACAGAGACAGGTGTCGGCATTCAGGTCACACCTTGTTGCGCATGAGCAGAACTTCCAGCAAGCTGGTTGACCACTTGATGCCTCAGTTTTCCCAGCTGATAAAAGTGCATGAAAGCAGCCCCCTTCTTACAGCACTGCGAGAGTCTGCCGAGCTGCGACAGCGCCCGGAGCACGCGGCGGCGCAGCCGTTCTGGGCAGCCCGCACTGCTCTCCGCAGGCCCCAGGCCACCGCTGCATGCAGAGCTGTCAATCCATTCTTTGCCTGTATGAAAGCGCATCAGAATTGGTGTGAGCTTGTATTTCTCAAATTACATGGCCAGAGAGTCTGCAGAGACGGAACTGTTGGGGAGCGCGCATTTGTGAGATCCTCATGACTCTGGATCTACAAAGGAGAATCATCCGTGAAGGCACCAACTTCCTCTCCCACACAGAGCTCAGGCACTGCTGTAACACAGTGTATGTTAGCAGGAAATACTGATGCCAGGATGGATGGGAAGGCCAGTCTTCAACATCATTGCTCCAACGAAGCAAGGCGAACCTTTTCAAACTTGGGCAAAATCTCTAGAACCTTTGCCCCTTGCCTCAAGGGCGCAAGAAGAAAACTATAACGAATTTAAGTGCCTGGAGGGAGAATTGGCTGCCCTGGAGTGTTTGGTAAGCTACTTCGGGTGAAGATAAAATGCCTTTGAATATAAAGAGGGTAAAGCAACAGATTTAAAACTTTAAAGAGAGGAAATCCCAAGGCCACAGTAAATCAGAAATAAGTAAATCAACCACTCAACTAATTTGGAGGAAAATGGATTACTCACCTTGGGCTCACGTCGAGTAGCCCTTATAATCACATAAGCAGCTCTGGTACTTAGGGCTGCTTTTCCACCTCTTTCTTGAGCTTCCTGTATGTTCTGAAGGATTACTGGGCACCATCTTACGAGAACATGCCATCACACTAGCTTACAAACGCCTTCCCTCAACAGGCATGTGGGGAGGCACAGAGCTCCTAACAGCCCACAGTGGTGCGGGATGGTCCTTCTCATGGTGCCAAGTTTTCTATCATTACAAATGAGGTCAAAATGGTGTGTACTGATCTTTCCAAAGTATACAGTATTTTGCAAAAGCTCACAACAGAAAAATATGTCTTGTAATTTTTGAACAATGCTTGAAGTTCTGATATTAATACTGCTGCAGGGAAATATAGGTAGCAAATCTAGACACCTTGGCCAACAGCCTCAACAATTCTCTTTCCTCTGTGCCCTCGATATGGGGGTTTCCAGGTGGGAGAGTCTGCCCAGAAATTCATTAACTTCCCTCCCCAAACACAGCTGAATTAAGAAGAATGTACCCAATTACAGTCTACAGTAAAATGAGGTTTATGGGATTTTAATCAATTTTTAGTTCCAAAATCACTTTATTTCATGATTTTGCTCTTACATTCCATTTTGGCCCCAGGACTAAAATATAACTTGTGAAGTTCAGTCTACTACTTCCAAGTATAATTTCATTTATTCATGACGTATAATTAGGAAGAAATAGGTAAACAATTAGATCGAATGTAAACAGAGTAAACGCAGGGCGGGTAAGGCAGCCTTTTGCTGAGTGTGCTTAGTCTGACCTGTTTGCTCTTATTTAAATTGCTTCCAGAATCTTCTAGAGTTTATACTTAAATTAATTTCTTAATTGAATGATGACGGACAATATTTTTTATAAAAGAAATAGAGGCTAATATGCCCAGAAAGCGGTAAGGCACAGCCAGACTCCCAGCTCTGGTCCTTGTGCTCGACCCTCAGGAAGTTACCCACCTCTGCCCCGGAAGTGGCTCCTCAGCCAAGGAGAGCAGTGTGTGCAGTTTCAGGGGCCTCCGCCTGTCACGCTTCCCTCAGCATGAAGACGCTTTAGCTTATTGTGTCCTCTCCCGTGTACAGGACCCAGCACTGTGGAAATACTTTGGTCTTGTATAAAAGCCTTAAATGTGTATATTTAAAGGAGCACAGGCTCTGCTTCTCATGGGAACCTGAGCACGAACAGCACGTCTGGCCCTCATGGGGTGCAGTGGTCAGGGTGAGCCCCTTGCAAGGGAGTAGCAAAACCAACAAGGGAGGCTGGTCCTTCCTTTTTGCCTGCTATTCTGCTTTTACAGCAATGCAAAATACACCTTCACTCAGGCACTTTCTCAGGCTGCAAGCGGCTGTGCTGGGTGTGAGCAGGGCTGGGCCTGCCGCTCCAGGACACTCCAGCAGACTGTGGAGCTGGGTGGCCCCGGGTGCAGGCTCGGTGTGAGCTGGGCAGCCCGGGCGCGGGTGCTGTGTGAGCTGCGCAGCGAGGACTCGGCACAACCCAAAGCAAGCAGCATGGAGGGTCCTGACTGCACAATGAGGACCCCAGAGGGGCAGCGTGGACACGTGTGCACAGGACACGACTGCAGGGTGCGGGAGAGCATGAATCGCCCATGTCCAAGGCGCTGTCTTACAAAATGCTCTTTCCCTGCTATGAAGAAATGCAGAGAAAGTCGCCATGTGCCTGTCATGTAGGCTGTTAAATCAGTTTTCATGTGAAGTATTTCTACATCATGAGGCTTTAATGTCTTACACTTGCAAATGGAAGCAGGAACTGCTACCTTCTTAGCCATATTGGCTGCCTAAGATGGTTTTTTAGAAATTGTAACGTGTTCTTCTCTTTAAAGATGGATTTAAATCAAAATTAAAATAAGATAATGAAAGCTTAATTTTTTAAAAAAAAAATAGAAAAAAAAAAAAAAAAAAAAAAAACCCAAACAAACTCATTAGAAACAACACAGTAATCTGTTCTGAGTGACCAATGTGTTCAGCTGGAATCTCATTTTGATATAGTATGTGTACACATGGCAGAGACCACATACATGTGTGTCTGTACAAGGCTATGCACACTCCTGCACGTGTAGCGCACACATTGTGCACACCCACGTACATATTCATAATACGACATATGCTGTGTACATCCCACACAGACCACGTACACGAACCCACACAGTATACACTGCGCATGGTGTGCCCCATGAACATACCCACACAAATGGGGTGTACTGTGCCCATACGCCCCCCTCCCCCCACGTGCACATACACGGCATAGATCATGTCCCCATGCGCATGCCTGGTCTACACTGTGTCCACACGCACATGTTGTGCCATGCACACGTCGTGCACACACGTGTGACCCATGCAAGCACACCCATGGTGGAGCCCCGCCCGCTCACCTCCAGCCTCACGGATCCTTCGCCCTGCTGCCGACCTGCGCAGCACGCTGCGGCCTGAGCTGAGGAGGGTGCTGAGCTCGTCCAGGGGGCTGCAGGGCGGCCGGCTGCTCGGGGGGCTTGGGGCGCCCGCGGGCCCGGGGCTGGGCGTACCCCTGCAGGCCTTGGGCGGCGGCCGGGCAGGCTCCGGCGCGGGTGGTGTGGCGGGCACGGAGCCCGGGCCAGGGCTGGAGGGTTCTGCGGACAACGGGTACTTCAGGCCGGGCTCCAGCATTGGCAGCCGCGCCACCTCCAGCGGCGTCAGCGGGGACTCATCAGAGGCTGGTGAGCCGGTGGTGGGCGCGGGCGGGAAGACCAGCAGGGGCGGCCTGTGAGGCAGCAGGTTGGGGAAGGGTGCAGGGATGTCGCTCGCATCCCGCTGGGCCGGGAGCCAGGAACCGGCACCCTCCTCCGGCAGGAAGTACTTCATCTCTTCGTAGACTGACTCTCCCTGCTCTGGGCTGTAAGCTTCAGGCCCCCCTGGCCTGGTCGCATTCCCCACCATCTCGATGTACACAGGCTCAGCACTGTCGTCCTCCTCAGGGGCAAAAGGCAGGTGCAGGGGCAGCTGCAGTGTACACTGAGGTGAGGTCCGAAGTGCGTGCAGGGTCCCCTGGGCCTGACGCGCACCCGCCTGGCCAGCCACTCCCGGGGGCCTTGGGCCCCAGATCTCCTCATAGGAACCGCTGAGCTTGGTGTTAGGGCTCCTCTTCGGCTTTCGCGGGGGGATCTTCTTCATGGTGCTATAGTCATCGCTGTGGGGCCTGGGCCTCATCAGAGCTGGAGCAGGAAGACAGAGGGGAGGTGAGCAAGGTTGAGCAGTAAGTCAGGGTACAGCTCAGCGGGAGCTGCCCTTCCAGGGTTCCTAGGCAAACCCAGCCCTCCCAGGCTGCAGGCCTGGAGGGGACCCCACCCACGCCCTGTAGACCTCTCACTGCCAGGCACACCCTTGCTCGGCCCCACCAGCTCAGGAGAGCAGAGCCCACAGGTGTGGTTTGCGAACTGCTGAGCCCAGCCCGGCCTCACTGTGCTGGGGGTGAGGGGTTCAGTGCCCCCCCATGAATCATATGAGGTGCCAGATCTGCTGCTGCTGTCTAACACCATCAAGAACCCGGATGTGCAGCTGCCTGGGTCCAGCTGCACTGCGGGATCACCAGCCGCTGGCCCCAGGCAGCAGGCACAGGCCTGATTCTCAACCGGAGGATCTCAGAGCTGTGCTGAGCCCGCAGCAGCATGCAGGCCGGGTGGCAGATGGTGTTTTCCCAAGCTGGGCTCAGGGTCTTCAGCCCTGCAGCCTCTTTGGGAACCTGGGCCGGGGAGCCTGTCTGGGTGCCTGGTGAGGAGAGGTAACCGGGCCTGTGGCCACGCAGATCCTGTCTCCTTCGACACTCGCAGGGCGTCTGGATGGGTGAGGCTAGAAGGCCCACCTGCTCCTTCCTCCGGTGCTCAGCTGTCCCAGCCGGGATATCAGGGACGCGGACAGCACATCGTGCCACTGGCAACCGCAGTCTGGTGACCCTGGGCTGCCGAGGTCTTTGCTACAGGTGCACAAGGCAGACATTGGTACGGAAATGGACCACAGCCAGAAACAAGAGAAACTCAGCCAGATGTGGTCGTGCCAGCCGGCCTCCTGGTTCTCTGGGAAGCCGAGACAGGAAGATCTCAAGATTTAGCCCGACTTGGGCAATTTGGTGACTTCCAGTAAAAAATTAAAAAGAAATGGAGATGTTGCTCATCTAACACCACCAAGAACCCTTTAAACAAGGCCTTGGGTTCACCCCTCAGTGCCTCAAGAAACAAGCAACATGGGCGCCTGTGGCGTGGCTTTGGGAAACCCTGTCCCTCAAAGGAGCCGTTGGAGAGGCCGCTGGCCCTCAGGCAAGTGTAGAGGAGGCTACAGGGAATGTGAGCTGTGGCAGGTGGAGGCCTTGGCTCTTCTGGGTCCCTAAGGACAATCAGGAGGCTGTCACTGTCCAGCGAAGCCACTGAGGCTAGGTCCCTGCCAGTGTGACTCTGGGCAAAGCCCCAGCTGCTCCGAATTCTAATTCCCTTGACACCCGAGGCTTCCTGAGGGAAGCAGCAGAAGAGGCCGAGAAAGGAGCATAGACCTCAGTGTCTGGCTTGTCACCAGCTCTCAGACGGTTACAGCCCATTTCTGAAAATGTCGAATGCTGTGGTGGTGGGAAAGCCAAGAACACGGGGCACTCCTGTCATGACATAGCCAGGCTGTGGGCGAGGACCCCAGGAAAACAGGTCTCTCTCGGCTGAACCCACCCATGGCCTCTCGGTCTGTGTCTCTGTGGCCTGTAGAGAGCTCCACAGCTGCCTAGGACATGTGCTCACAGCCATCCAGGAGGACAGGTTGCGACAGTAGACAGTTCCACATCTGTGACCTCTGTGGCCCCTGGAGCAGAGCCGCATCCCACTCATTCTATTTGTCCCAAGGACACATGTTGGGGAGCAGAGTGCTCACAACCTGTGTGCATGCGGACTTGGGGCATGTGCAGAGCGCACCTCCATTCCTTCCTCCTCTGCCCCTCTTCCCTTTTGTGAATGATCCATCTCTCCACTTCCTGTTATTCATCCTTTCTTTCACTCTTCGTTTATACTTCGGCCTTCTCCTGAGAGAAATGGGGCAATGTTTAAGCGTGTGTGTCTCGCTTATTTCACTTAACGTTCTGGTCTCTAAGTGGATCTACGCTCCCAGGAATGACTCGAATTTATCCTTCTTCCTGGCAGAGCGGCACTTGGCTGTATGTAAGTGACTGAGTTTCTTCATCAGTACATCTGTGCATGGAGTACGTGCTGCTTCCGAGACTTGGCTGCTCAGGGCTGTGCCACCGTACAGGGTGTGCAGGGGTCACCGCGGCAGGGCGTCTTCGATTCTTCAGGAAGAGACCTGAACGGGGCACAGCAGGGCTGCATGGGATTTCTAGTTCTATGTTTTGGAGAAATCTCCAAATTGATTCCCATCATGGCTGTCCTAGCTTATGTTCCCACCAACAATGCAGAAGAGTTTCCTAAAAATCCTTCTCAGCTTTTATTCCTCAGAAGATGAGTACCTAGAATATGTAAAGAACTGAGAAGACAGTTGGCTCCCCCACCCCCGAGGAAAAGGCCCAGTCAAAAAGGAGGCACAAGAGATGAATGGACGCTGCACAGAAGAAGAAATGCCAACCTGCATGAGGAGAAGACGCTCCACAGCATGGGCCCGAGCCGCACCTGAGACTGCACCCACTGTAGCTGCTGTGCCCATGACATCTGACTGCTTCAGATGGTGCTGGCATCGCTGGGCCCCAAAGCAGGGGTGAACATTCACCACAGTTCCAGCTGCCCCCTGGCACCAGAGAAGCTGCCAGCAGCGTGCCGGCCACACCTGGCGGCGCTGTCCCATGCCCGTGGGCTACAAGTCCAGAATACGGGCGGATGGAGTGCCTGGATCCCCAGTGGCGTTCTCTGACTCAGTAAAGCTCCAAGCCCAAGCAGCAAATGGCCAAGTTGTTTAACTTCCTTATTTGTAAAAATTTATTTAGAGTATGTTCCAAAATGCAGATGTCCATTTCAGTCTAAGGAGACCAAGACTTTCTCTTGGAGGTTACAAAGTAGCCAGTGATACACTGTGTCCTAAGGAACCTGGAGCAGTAGCCTTCAAAGGGAAAAAAGGCATTAGCTTTTCACAGCCTTACAGACCCCCTGACTGGCAGAGGCCAGTGAAATTAGGCTCCACCCAACGGAGCTTTCCAGAGACCTCTGCCAGGTCTAATGAGACTTCGGGGTGTCTCACAATGGTAGTGACAAATTTAACATTTTAAAGCCCATAAATTTGCCTTATCTTTCTTTCTCTTTGATGTCTTCTGTTGTTTTGTTTTTGAAATGGTGTCTTCCTCTGTGGTGTAGGCCGGCCTCAAATGCCTGCTCACCCTCCTGCCTCAGCCGCTGGAAGGCTGGGATGACGAGTGTGTGCCCCCACACAGAGCTCTTATCCCTGAAGAAGTCAGAGTGGAGCCCCAGTTCCACCCTCCCTTGGGCTCAACCTTTATCTTCATGAGTTCCCTTTCTCTGTGGCCCTGTGACCCCCGTGTACCTGATCACCCCCAACCCCAACTGCAGGCTGTGGCCTGTGCACGTGCACATGCACATGTGGGTCCCTTGGCAAGGAGGTCCCTTGGCTGCTCCGAGCTCATGGTGCTGATTTTTAGCATCAGCCCCAGTGTGGAGGCAGAAGTGGCTCCACTTCAGAGCCATTATTGTTTGTAATCTGACTTCATTAGATTCACTTGGCACTCCCTGGACTCGTCATGGCCCTGCTCCCTGATGACTGTGTCAGCCTCGTCGATCGTGCTCTTCCTGTTCCTGCTGCTGAAGTCTTTCTTGCACCCAAAGAAAGCATCCTGTGGCAGTGACAGTGGCAATGGGCTTGGTCCAGGTTCCCAGGGGGGCACTGGTCACCTGGACGGCAGTGGACTCCATCTGCATTCTTAGCAAGGGACACGGAGGGCTGGTGAGGAGCAGCTTCTACAGCATGTGTAGGTCAGGGGACAAGCACTGTTCCCTGGAGATCCTGCCTGCCCTTCCATCCATGGACAGGGTCACCACAGATGGCTGCCCACCATGGCCCCTCCTGACCTTGTCATTGAGACACCAAAGCCACCTGCCACCCTCCCCTTCCTGAGTGCAGCCGGGGCAGCTTCTGTGCCTCTGTCTGACGAATGCCGTAGCACATCTTTGCTGCACGCAGGCCTTGGAGAGGCCTGAGGGACAGAGCAATGGGTGCCGCTGGCTGGTCATCAGCCCCCTGCCCCAGAGTGTGGCCATATGGCAGTGTGTGGGACCCTTCATGCTCAGGAGGAGCCAGGCTGCCTCTGTGAGCGGTGTCCTTCCAAGTGAGGGCTTCTCCACAGCCACGGGTGGACCCAGCCCTGCCAGCCCCACCCCAGCCCTGCTCACCTCTCTATAGCAGTTGTCTCTCCCTACAAATTCTGTGGAGTGACTTGTTTACTGTGTCCCACCTGTCCTTCCTCTGGAGAATCAGAGACATGTAGGGACACACACACACATGCACACATGCATGCGTGTGCGCCTGCAGTGGAGCCTGACATGCATGAAATATTAAACTACTGAAATCGGCAAAGGTTCTGCTGAGAAGTGCCTCCTTTGTTTTCACTAATGCTAAAACTTAATGACACTGTAGTCATCCAAGTTTCTACACATGGCTGTGGCAGAGTGCCCTCCAGTGTGTGAGTGGCCCTGCTGTCCCATGCACCCCTCTGCGCGTGGGCACACAGGCTGCTGCCAGCTGTGGCTGCTGCGAGCCATGCTGCTGCTCACGTGGAGTGCCCGGGTCGCTGCGAGGCGGCATCTGCAATTCCAACCGGATTTCTACTCTGAGCTATTTGAGGAATCTCCACACTGATCTCCACGGCGGTTGTAACATCAGAATCACAAGCTTAAACATCGCACTGCTTCTTATACAGGAGGCCCAAAGTAGAAATACATTAAAGAGCAAACTAAAAGACAGACAGTAGCAAGCGGAAAAGGAAAGCAAGGGGGCCAGGAGGAGCATGCGAGCAGGAGGGAGGGCGATGGGAGGGGAATTCTGGTGTGTCCTGCCACGCCCCAAGCCACACAGAGCAGGGCCGCCATGGCCAGCAACCACGTGCTAACAAAGAGAATAATTAAGAACTAACAACTAAGTGACAGTTACAAGCTATGTGGTGCTACTGAGGGCTTTCATGGGGAATCAGAGGCGACATTCCCCTGGGACATGCGGCGTGCGCGTCTGGACCATCCTCACGCAGCCTTGGGGTCTAACCCCATTATGCCCACTGAATCAGGCTGCAGCGTTCTGCCGTGTGTGAAGTGCCTCACTCACCCCATGCAGAGCCGGGCTTTGCTTCCAATTAGACTGTGGTCACAGGGAAGCCCAGCGAGTGTGTCGGAACTTTTAATGAGTGCATATTGACACGGATGGGCAGCCAGCTTTGTGCGCCGAGTCTGCTTGGAGGCTGCCAGCTTGCTGCAGGGCGGGTGCACTTAAGGAGCTTTTCCCTAAGAGGCTTGCAGATTTGCATGAGAAATATTTATATTTAGTGATTACAGGCCGCTGGCAAGGCAGCGATCGGATTTACTCCTACTAGGAACGTGCTTGGCCCACGCCCACCCTGGAAGCCTGCAGCCTGACCACCACAGCTTCCTAGGGGCCCCGGGCTCACCGTCTCCCGACGGGTCCTTGGCTGCTGCAGACAGGCAGGCACTCACAGCCTCATAGGAGGCGCTCAGCCGTGTGTTTGGGTCCCTCTTGGGCTTGGGTGGAGGCTGTTTCCGTGGTGACGGGAGGCCACTGCTGTCATCCATGCTGAATGTGGGATGCAGTGATGGAGGCCGGAGGGATGGTCCAGCGAGGGCCGGTGCCAAGCTGTCCACAGCCACAGAGACAGGCACAGAGCTGGGGTGTGCACGCCACAGACCACCCTGGTCTTCAGCCCTTGGGGAGACAACACAGACAACACAGACCAGAGAGGCCCAGATACATTATTTGTGGACAACAGTGAACCCGACCCGGGGGCACGCGCGGCCGGAGATGCGAGGCAGCTGCCACCTGAGCAGCCGCCCTGCTCCGGGAATGCGCACACACTCGCCGCCCGTCAGCATTCTGGCTCAAAGCCACCCCCAGCTCAATCCTACCAAAGAGGCCGCGGTTTCCCGTGGACATCACTAAATGACCCTACTCAGGCTGGTTCTTAAGCAAACCAAGAAGCCAGGATTTTGATCTGCATGATTTCTGGGAAGCCCGTCTTAGTAGGGAGTCACTGATGCATCAAGTGCTAGAGGTCATACCACGTCTCTTTGCAAGCACAGCGCACAGGCCGCTCAGAGCTAGCAGGGATTCTCGCGATCACATCCTCGGGCTTATCTCCCCTCTCTCTTCCTTACCATTTAAATTCCACCAGCAATTATTTAATTATGTGCAAAACTATTATTTTTCCTGTGACTCCATCTGTTTGCCTGGTGCCAAGTGAACTGCTGGTGTTCAATAAATAAACAGACAAATGCGTCTTCACTTAATTTTCCATCAGGCAGACAAATACATAATGCAATTGAGAAATTGGGGTGACTGTGAGGCTCCAGCAGAGAAAATAACAAACACTATTCTGGAAGCCATTTAAAATGAGTGGTTATCTGCCGCATAAGGCTCCTTCTAGCTTCACATGTCAAAGTAATCACACACTAGCAAGATGCCAGTGTGCCCATTGTGAGGAGTTTCCGAGCAGTAGTTTTATAATTATATCTTTCTGTGGCAGAGCACCAACAGGGCTGCATCCACCACCCGGCAGAGCCAGTCGCCCGTGTAGAAAATAAAGTCGCAGAAGAGGCGAGTGTGGCACTCCGTGGATAATTTGTTTTCCCTGTAATGTTTAATTACAGTTTTCCGTACAAAGGGAATTTTTTTCCAGCATTTAATCACTGAGATATTTGAAACTAATTAGCAAGAGACGCACTGGCACTTGCACTTCACCAACAACAAGAAAGTCATTTGACACAGGCAGTCACAGCGAAGGCAGAGTGGTTTTCGGAGGGAAACAAGGGGTCACCCAGTTTCTAGGGAAAAGTGCACAGCTCCCAGCCGGGCCGAGATAGAGGAGCGAGGGTGCCCCAGGTGGGGACTGAACTTTCCAGAGTCCTTCCTGGGGAGGAAATGACCACGAGAAGACGACCCTGGGTGTCCCAGATTTCTATTTCAGGCTCAGCAGCCCAAGTGAACTGCTACTTGAAAAGCTTTTTATTTTCTACAGCTTTCCATTTTGGCAAGGAAAATGGAACCATTTCCACCAGGAGACATAGGGTGTTCCACTCTCTGAGAATGCACACGTGTGTGTGTGTGTGTGTGTGTGTGTGTGTGCACGTGTTTGGTTCTGGACATTACACCCAGGGCTTCTGCACTGGGTTACCTCCCCAGCTCACTTTTTTCTTCTTTTATCTGGAGACATACTCTCATTAAGTTGCCCAGGCTGGGCGTGAGCTTCTAGTCCTCCTGCCTCAGCTTTCCCGAGGGCTGGGCTGGCAGGGCTGAGCCACCACCCTAGCCACGATCCATTCTTTGACTTCCTCGGTGTTCTGGCTCACAGTGCCCTCTTAGCTCTTGGGTCTGATCCCCAGAATCCCTATCCATGAGCCTTGCATGCATCGTACCTGCATGAGGGTGGCAGGCCCCACTCTGTATTTGCTATCATAGGAACAGAGGGACTGGCCGTAACGCTCTGAGCATGCTCGAGGTACTCAGGAACAAAGGCCGGGGCAGAAGCAGCAATCATTTATGCAACCAAACTCACACATGCAGCATTCACTCATGAAAAGAGGGCACAGAGAAGCATTTTCTAGATCGCGAGCAATTTTTGAGTTGCACTGCGCATGCTCATTCCCGCGCGTTCCCTTAAGCATTTCCTGCGGGGCTGAAGTCGGAACCAGCAGCATTTCCCACGCCCAGAAGCTGCTCAGTCGGTCACAGAGGCATCAAGGCCAGGCCGCGCTGCCTTTACCTTGAGTCTCCATCCTGGGGCCTGGCCCTGGCCCCCGCCTTGTCCCTGGGATGGGCAGCGCCCACTTCCGTGCGGAGCCGGTCGTTCTCCCGTGCGATGTCGGCTGCGTTCTGGATGACCAGGGCGTCGTAGGTCTGCAGCGCCAGGTCCTCGGTGTCCTGCAGGAAGCTCCTGACTCGCAGCACCTCCTGCTGCTTGGCACTCCTCTTCTGGAGCAGATGTTGGCGGGCTAGAAACCCTCTTACAACTTCACAAAAGAACATAAGCCTGTGTCAGAGAACGCAGGGGAAAGTGCCAAAGCCAGACGTGCAAATGAAACTGACAGCTACGAAGGAAGACGTGAACATTTAACCCCGGCAATTGTCACCAAAACCCTGCAGTCTCCATAGACAATGTCTCTGAATTCGGCAGGACAAATGACAGGTGATGCCCCTGACTGGGCGAGCCCTAGTGGGTGGCACTGGGCACACAGCCGCCCCTATGCATTTTGGTAACAAGCTGGATCTGGACACCCTGGTGTAAAAGGACAGAAAAGATCCTACTCCGAACGCCGAGAATTTGGGGGTACGGCTCCTACCTGGGGAAGGGGCGACTGGTTTCAGTTATCTCAGCACAAGCAGGCACAGCTGCCTAGCCGGGCCTGCCCGTCCCGCGCCTGCTCTCCTACGGGTGCGGGCTGCAGCTCGCAGGTGAGCACGGCACGGGGCAGCGATGCGCAGAGAGCCACGCGTGGGCCAGCGGGAGGGAGGACCTGGAGTCCTGGGCACGGGCGGAGCCGCTGGCCGCCCGAGAAGGGAGCTGCGCGCTCCTGTCTGCGGGCCAGACGAGCACGGTGGCCCTTCCCCTGGATGCAGGGCACAGGCGCAGGCATGGGCCAGGACTCCTAGCTCCGAGTGTCTAACATTACAGCAAGTTGTGGCGTAAAGAAAAACCAATTTCAGGGAAAACCAGAGTGTGCAGCAAGGATGCTTGTTTTTGCGAGAGGGAGACATTTAAAAACACCAAGTGCTTGAAATAAATTCTCCATGACTATAAGGGAACCAACAGGCGGCTGTGGAAGAGACCCCTGGGCACCCTGGCGGTGTGGGCACAACTTCCCTAGGAGAGGAGTGCTGCAGCGTCCGGCAGCACAGGCACCCTGTGCTCGCTTCCTTTCAGGTAGTGACATGGCATGTGGGGTCTCTGGGGTGCAGATGTGTAGCTAGCGTACAGCAGTCATGCTGAGCTCATCTAAGAGTAGCAAAACTAAGCAGCGGGGGGACCAGGAGCAGAAGCAGGAGGAAGCTGAGGAGGCAGGAAGTGACAGGGACAGCGAGGAGGAAGAAGCAAGGCTAGCTGGAGGGCTCACCAGCTTGTTCTTGTTATGGTAGAAGGATCACAAAGTTGACTTTTGGAGGATGAAGCAAGATGCTTCGTGTCCTGGAGTAGAGGGAGGACCAAGGCAGCTGCCCCAGGCTTCCTGACCCCTGCCTGGCAAAGGGCTCACGGCGTCACCCAGAGTCCAGCATGAGCAGCTTCCAAAATTCTTTAAAACTGTTACACAAGTTGCTCTGCTTCAGGAAATTGGTATGGTATTGTATTGTATTGTATCAGGAATTGAACTTAGGACCTTGCACTTGCCAGGCAGGTGCTTGTGCTGCTGAGCTATGTCCCTGGCCCAGAAGTTGCTAATAGGTGGCATCCTTAACAAAGGACCATCCATACAATTAAACTGCCAGCAAAGGATATTGATCCTGGTCCTTCTGATCATTTCCAGAGGTTGCTTTTATGAATTGATCATGATGAGATCTTCATTTATAGACACTTTTCATCCAGGATAAGGTGAACACATGTGTGTGAGGGTGAAAATTGACTATAGGAATGATCTAAAATGATAATGATTACACTTAGATCTAAAAGTTATGGCTTTCTTCTCCCTGAATATTTACAAAGGGAAAAAATGGAACTCTTTTTAAAAACTGGAAGAGGAGCCAGGTTATGTAAATTTTGAGTAAACTTAATATCAGCAAAGAGTACTCAGGGAGCCGTGCTCAGGGGTGGAGAAGAGAAAGTCCACAATTAGTGCACTGCACTTAAGAGCCTGTGATGCTTAGAACACTTTTATTCCCATTATTCCACTTATGCAATGGATAAAATTACTATTTTCACTGGGATGCTGTTTTCAGGGTTATTCTCAATCTGTCTATTTAAAAAGGTGGCCAGAGAGTTAGAGCTGTTTCTTTCTTCTGCTGCCTGTCAGCTCAGCCCAGTGAGTTCATCTCTGTGCTAAAGCAGGGAGACCTGTCCCAGGGCCTGACGGAAGGGGAGGCCCCGTGCCACACCACGGCAGAGGAGATGGCCTGGAGGGCGGGCTGCTGCTCCTCTGCACACGTGCTACCACCGGCTTGTCTCCCTGATCCAGTCCCAGCGGTGGGTGCGAGTTCAGACCAGACCCCGTGTGCAGCTGGGACTGAGTCTGGGTCTCTAGCCAGCCCCGGGTGAGGCCCCACTCTCGCCACTGTGGGATACAGAGGGGTCCCAGAGCAGACCCCTGGCCCGTCTTCTTCCCTTTGCGGATTAAGGGTGGAGCTACAAGGGTCAGGGATAAGAGAGAGAAGATGCATTCTGAGCCCAGAGGTGAGGCCCGAGTTCCCCACCCTGAGGGGAAGGAGGTGGCTTCAGGGGACCTCCAGCAGGCTGCTATGTGATTGCTGGGCCCAGGGTAACTCCAAAAGCGCAAGACCCCAAAGGGCAACGCTGCAGCTGCAGAGGAGCTGCACCTTCACACGAGTCACAAGAGTCTGTCTCGGGGCACCAATGTGGTCCTAAGAGATGTCTGCTGAGACATGGGCAGAGGACACGCAGGACCTGAGGGTGGCACGTGGGATCAGCGCTGCTCATGGACATGGGGGTGACTGGAGAGGCCCCTGGTTATACATGAAGCTGTCAGAATCAGCCCCAGCCAGAGCCCAGTGCCAGGGGACTGTGGCAGCAGGAGGCTGTGCCCCTTCTCCTTTCTCCTCAACCTGAAGAAACAGGGCCCCTATGATTATGAACATAACACCGGCAGTACCACTGGCAGAGACCAGACTCTTTCCTGGGGACACTCTGCAGGGCACAGGCCTGCAATGGCTAAGAGCGGTGCTCTCACCTGAGTGAGGGCTCCCACATCGATTGGTCCTGGACATACGAAATTCCGAACAGCGATGTGGGAGGGACAGCACACTGCAGACCTTGTATCATCGGAGAAGTGTGGGGCCCTCTGATTCATGCTTACAGGATCCCTGAAATGGGCCACCTTCCAGGCTCCCACGCTAGAGGAAGGGCTTCAAACGTATCAGAGTGAAGCTCATGCTACACTATGGAATCAAAGACTGCAATCAATATTAGTTTCTCTTAAAGACGTAAAGGGTGTGTGCACTGAGCGCTGCCTTCCCAGCATCTTCCCCTGGCTCTGCACACATGCAACCTGTTCTTCTTGCCACTTGCTGGGGCCCTCACGCAAGTCCTCTTTCCTGAGTGTCTTAGCTGCTCTGCTGGAGCTGCCTCCATGGCCTGAACTGACTTAAAATGCTGTTTTTGGACATTTTGACTATGTAGGAAAACCAGACCTGCATGGTGCCAGATGCAGGGAGCACACTGGGTGAGGACCCCACAGTGTGGCTCCCAGCCTGCTTTGTCCACCAGGCAGTAGAATTCATACTTTTTATCTCACCTCCAAAGACATTCAGATAAGAGGACTTCAGGACTGCTTCAGAAAGTGGCCGGAGGGTGGGTGAGTGCGTGTGAAGAGCGGGGCGGGCCTGGAGCCGGATCAGTGCAACGAAACCTTTACTATGCTCAAGTTTTGTATAAACTTTTGCTGTAGGTTTTGGTTGCACCTTATAAGTCACACCAGCAGCCAGCACGCAGAGTAACTTCTACTCTTGCCTGTCTGGAAGGAATAAAATGAGTGGACAACCTGAAAATTTAAAAATCTACTAATGATATACATTGTGTGTGAGGCCCAGTTGCAAAAGTGTGTCCTTTATTCACTGTCATTTGGATTTTCATAGAAAAACAAATTCTCAATGGAATCAACACCCAAAATTACAACGAGAAAGACCCCATCAACTGCCAAAGATGTCACTGTAAATACTGCCATTACTTCTCCAGGGAGAGGAGATGAGGATTTTCCAGGGGCAGATGGACAGGGGAGAAAAGTGGCTTGGCTCACAGAACGACATGCTTCCCGGAACCTGCAGCCCAATGGCCCGCAGAGGGCTTGCTCTAAGGGCTCCTGCGCAGCCTGCCTCGCGCCAGGTGGGAGTCTCCCTGCCACAGACTGCCAGGCACAGTCTATCCAAGTCTTCGCGAGGCGAGGGACTCATGATGAGGTGCGTGGATTCCTACCTTCAGCTTAGACTTGGAGGAAAATGTAACATGGAATTTCACGTGGAATTTACCCAATAAAGAACGCGCAGGCCTGCACATGTGTGTGTGGAGGCAGGTATGGGGCCCACCGGGCAGCGCTCCCCAGACACTCCAGGAGGAGGCCCCCACGGCCCTGGGAGACAGAAGGGTTGGCTAGGCCACCACGCCCACTGCTGCATGAGCACAGCGTGCCGAGTTTCCGGCCTGCTTCGGAGGCGCTGGCCACACGGTTACCTTTTTGGCAGGTCACGATCTTCCTCTGCAGCCGCTGGCACAGGTCACCGAGCTGCTCTGCCTGCCGGTGCTTCAGAAACACCTTGCGGACACCAATCTGCAACAGAAGCAGCGGGCAGGAGTCAGCGGCCAGGCGTCACCCGAGGATGCCCAGAGGATGGGACAGAAGGCATTTCCAGATGAGCAGACAGGGCAAGCTAGCAGCACTAATTACAGTGTCTCTCCCTTCATTTCAATGCCGCAGCACTTCATCTAAATTCTGAAGGTGGTGTTCTAACACGGCTGGTGGCTGGCTGTGTCCCTGCATCAAGTGCGTGCAGACGCCCGCTGTGCTGGCTGCAGCACACACTTGGCCCGACTCCGCCGGAAGTGGAAGCCAGCCCTGGGAATGCTCCCACACTTCAGGGTCCCCCTTCTTCTCTTCTTTAGCCCCCTCTTCCCTCTGCTCAGGCTGAACCTGCACCAAAGCAAACACCCACCCACGCAGGCCGAAACCGCGCGGAAGCCTCCCGCCCAAGGTGTTGCGTTTCAGCGACGTTCCCCGAGGCCACCCCGTGTCACTATGGGATATCCGTACAAAAGCAGCTACCAAACTTCAGCACAAAAGGGAGATGTCTCCTAGTCGCCTCTGTGCGCCCGCCTCTGCGATGTCGGCACAGACAGGAGCGATGCCATGGATGTCCATCCCAGAAGGGGCACGTAAGAGCAGTACCTTTTAGGAAGACGCCAAGTCAGTTGCTAAGGAGAGGCACCCAGCTCTCCCAGATGTCTACTATTGCAGATAGCTGTCAGAGAACATTCCAGAAAACCAAAATAGGCCGGGGAGATGGCTCAGTGGAATAAGCGCTTCCCTGGCAAGTGCAAGGGCCTGAGTTCAATCCCCGGTTCCAC